AGAGGAGCTCTGAAAGAAAAAATCACATTTGCATCTGCCAATGATTCTCGTTTACAAAGCTTTGCTATTTTTGATTTCAATAATGATAGCCTATTAGATATTGCCGTTGCCAACTATGGTACTAATAACATAGGTATTCTTCTTGGATATGGGACTGGCACTTTTGGAAATCAAATGATATTTTCAACGGGCTTAAATTCTCATCCTTACTCAATGACTATTCATGATTTCAATAAAGACGGTCAAGCAGATATAGCAGTGACCAATTATGGTACTAAAAAACTTGTTACGTTTCTAGGAAGTGGAAATGGAACATTTGAAAACCAAGCAAGTTACAGTGTAGATTTCGATTTTGCTCCATTAGTTATTGGTGCTGGTAGTTTCAACAAGGATGGAAGTTCAGAAATTATTGTCGCATATGATGGCATGGATCATGTCGATGTGCTTGTCACATATAATCTCGGGTCTTTTGATCATCAAATGACATATTCAACTGGTTCTGGGCCACGCTCTGTATCTGTTGGCGAATTTAATAACGACACCCATCTGGATTTCGTCGTCGTCAATCAGGGTGATAACACTATAAGTGTCCTTCTCGGATATGGCAATGGCTCTTTTGCAAATCAAAGCACATATTCAACTGGCAACGTACCATGGTCTGTAGCTGTCGGCGACTTTAACAACGACACCCATCTGGATATCGTCGTCGCTAATAGATTTGGCAACAGTATAAGTGTCCTTCTAGGATATGGAAATGGCTCTTTTGCAAATCAAATGACATATTCAACTGTCTCTCAATCATGGTCTGTAGCTGTTGGTGATTTTAACAACGACACTCATCTGGATATCGTCACCGCTAATTGTGATAGCAACACTACAAGTGTCCTTCTTGGATATGGCAATGGCTCTTTTGCAAATTCAAGGAAATATTCAACTGGCACTAATCCATGGTCTGTAGCTGTTGGTAATTTTAACAACGATACCCATTTGGATATCGTCGTCGCTAATTATGGTGACAATACTATAAGCGTCCTTCTCGGATATGGCAATGGCTCTTTTGCAAATCAAACGAGTTATTCAACTGGCTCTGTGCCACGCTCTTTATCTGTTGGTGATTTTAACAACGACACGCATTTGGATATCGTCGTTGCTAATTATGGTGACAACACTATAAATCTACTTCTCGGATATGGAAATGGCTCTTTTGTAATTCAAACGACATATTTAACTGGCTCTGGTGCACAATCTGTAGCTGTTGGCGATTTTAATAACGACACCCGACTGGATATCGTCGTCGCTAATTGGAATAACAATACTATGAGTATCCTTCTTGGATATGGCAATGGCTTTTTTGCAAATCAAATGACCTATTCAAGTGGCTGGAGTCCTTCATCTGTAGCTGTTGGTGATTTTAATAACGACGCTCGACTAGATATCGTCATCACTAATATGAATGGAGCAAGTGCTAGCGTATATCTAGGATATCCCAATGAAGGTTTTCTAAACCAAATGAGGCTGGCAACTGGGAATGGATCCCGCCCTAAGTCATTCACTATTGGGGATTTTAACAATGACGGTCAAATAGATATTGCAGTTGCGAATTCAGGCACTAACAACGTCGGAATTTTTCTGAGATATGACAATGGCTCTTTCGCAAATCAAATTGCATATTCAACCGACTTCTCTCCATGGGCGGTAGCTGTTGGTGATTTCAACAACGATACAATACTTGACATTGTCACCGTGAATCATGGTAATGACACTATTGGTATATTTCTTGGATGGGATAATGGTTCTTTTTCAAGCCAGAAAACGTTTTCAACCGGTTTCAACTCTCAACCGAACGCGGTTGTCGTTGGTGATTTCAATAACGACACCTTGCTGGATATTATTGTCGCCAATTATGGCACAAGCAACGTCGGTGTGTTGCTTGG